TTTGTAAATAGGATCTCAAGTCCACATCTTGTACAGCAATTAACCACTAAGAAGAATATATGCAGTGTGTTATTTGTTGAATCTGTACTTCCGATTTGATTTGAAACTGTCTCATTGCTATCTGTTTATCCGTAAAATTTTGGAAAAAAAAAAAAAAAAAAGAATACCAGGTTACAAAAACCTTTCATGGTACCTACCACTTTTAAATGGAGGTTGCTTCTGTTTTAAGCCTGAAGCTGTGGGACTTGAAAGTAGAACCAGTAGTGTTCTAGTAAATGTTTAGTGGCCACCTTTCTGGAAAGGAAGTGGGATAGGGAAATTAATAAATCAAGTCCTGATGTGTAGGGTTTGCCAATTTATTTGATGTAAATACTTGCACAGTGGCCAGATTTAAGCTACCAACATAGTGCTGAATGCTGTTTTGGGGGAAAGTGCACAGTAACACACCATTATATAGACTCCCCATCATAACAGGTACCACAGACATAAATATTGTCAAGCACATAGAGAGAGGAAACAACTAGAATGTAGTAAATTTTGAGCATTACTTTTGTTTTAGTATGGTTTATTTAATTGTATATTCATATACTGTAATTTTAAATAATATTTAATAATTGATTCACAAAAGTTCTAAAAGTCCACTCTGATGAACTGATAGGAATGAACTGAGCTCATTGTAAAGTTTTATGTAACTGCCTCCTTCCCAAAATTATGAGCTTCCTAAACATAAAGATAGTATCTGTATTTGCATACCATTTCATCTGCTATGTCAAACACTAGTAAGTACTCAAGTGTTTATTGACTGAATGAATCACTCTAACATACAAAAAATTAGTACAACCTAAAACAAAGTAGAAGAGTTTTTTTTCCTAAAACATTGCATTTGACTTTCCTTATTTTGTTTAACTTTAGCAATATACTATAAATGTTCATCACTAACATTGAAATATTAATGTCTTTAATATCTTTGTAAACAAGTATATGTGAGTTATTCCTAGGAAAAATATTCAAAGAAATAACTCTTAATGTAAATATGCTCAGGAACTATTTTGAGCAGAATGTCCATTAGTTTTGAGCTGCTTGTGTTCATTTAAGCCAACAAAGCCAACACACTGCCAATTCCTGTAATAAATTATTTGTATTTATGAAATTACAGAAAATTTTACATTTTTTCTGGGTACTTCATATCTTCCCATGTTTTCAGCCTAAAGCACTGGCACTGGAAGAGTTTAAAAATAGAAAATTTAGTGTTTTTATACTGTAGGGCATTTTAGAGTGAAAAGAATATTTTTCTCATAACATGGGCTAACATTTTCTAAAATGTATTTTATAATATCTAGCTGTATAGGATGGCAATAGATACTATGTGAAAACTAATTCCAAGGTCAAAATAGATGTGGTAAAGAATTCATTAAATATTAAATATATTTCTTTGAGTAGCCCAGGGATACAGTACATACTGATTTTTTTACAAGAGTATCACAGAAACTTAATGGTCCAAGAAATGCTCTGAGAAATATTGCATTTGCATATGAACAGACTTAGAATATGGTTAGAATTTAGAGAGCCCAAAGGTTATCTAGATTATTTTCCCTGCCCCCACACATCCATGTCAGAATCCATTTTACACCACTCCTGACAGATGGCCATCCAGTCACTGCTGCATAAAAACCTTAGCGGGAAACTTACCATCCCAAAAAGCAGTCCATTCCACTGCTGGCCTCCTTTCCTTTTTTAACGAAGTTTTTTCTTATAATTGAACCAAAAATCTGTTTCTCTGTAACTTACTCATTCCTTCCAGTTTTGCCATCTGGAATATTGGCAAAACAAATTTACTTTCTTTTCTGCAAGATGCCTATCATGTTTCCTGTTACCCTTCTCTTCTTTGGATTGAATATTACTACCTTATTCAACTCTTATCTCCAGTGAGGAAGTTTCTAAATTCTTAATGTCCTGGTACTCTTCCCTGGATAATGTCCAGTGTCCCTTTCAAAAAGAGATGCCTAGAATTAAACACAGTCTGCAACAATCTGCCAAGTACAAATGTTTAACATTTTATTCAACAAATAATTCTGGAGCCACTGTGCTATTTTGGACCATTTAATGGATGCAGGAAATATAGCAGGCCCAACACAGTTGTTGATGGGAAAATATAATTTCCTTTCAACCTTTATAAGTTCATAGTTCAGATAGATACCTTTAGCAAAGGCAGATTAACAAGAAATGAAAACAAGTTTATTAATGTACATAGTCCATATTACACATGTGAAACGTCAGGGAGAGGTGATGTAAAACAGTGGCTTAGAACTCTGGTTTATATTGCATCTCCGAAAATAGCAATGAATTCTAGAGAACTGGCAGGACAAAAGAAAAGTTTTAGACTTCTGAAATGGAGGAAGTACAGGGCAGTAATTATTTGGGAAACTAATGAAGTAAGGTCTGATCATTGTTTCCTCTGATGCTGGTTCTGAGCTAATAAGTTATCTTCTCATCTTGGTTCAAAGAAGGAATCTTTTTCAGAAGAAGCATTACGGCTTGCTACAGGTAGGAAAAGGCAATTTAGTTGGTGCTTTCTGCTGTT